AAAAAAAAAAAAAAAAAAAAAAAAGAAGTAAAACTGTTTTCGTTGCAATCATTGTTTTAGGCCGGCCCCAATTTATCCTAACCGGTGTATTGACAGTTAGGCCCAAAGAACACATTTTTTCCTCTGAGGACTGCGGTTGCAGGAGACAAAAACCCAACCGAAGTAGCTGAAATAAAAACTTTGGACTTCGTGCGGTGCCCTCCAAAGGGAGTAGAAGTAAAACAGAGATCAGGATGCCTGCATCCAGAAACTAGAAAAACAGTAGGTCTCTCTTTTTTTCTCTTTTCTGCCTCTCTTGGTGTATCAACTCTGTTTTCTAAGACCAAGTTCTCCAATGCAACATTGACCACGGCCAGACACCTATAGGGATACATTCTTATGTCTTTCAACAAGAGAGAAAACAGTATCTACTATAGCAGTTCTAATTAGAAAAACTAAAAAAGCAATGAAAGGTCATTTTGGGGGCTGTCTTCATGGTCAGAGTACGAGCGTGCTATGATTGGCTCAGCCTGGGTCACAACAGCCATCTCTGGCCACTGGGGTAGGCGACGAGGTTCTGGGAGTATGAAAAAATTAGTCCCTCTATCTCAAATACCTGTTGATACAACAAGCCACTGGTAGTAATAGTGACCTTAGGGCTAAGCCCTGAATTTATCTGAGCCTTGACTGTATCTGGCTGTTTATTAGAAGCAGCAATTGTAATGTCCACTATCTATCTATCTATCTATCTATCTATCTATCTATACTTCAGTCACTGAAGGAACAATGCAGCCACTCTATGTCAATGGTAGGTGACTTGGGTTGGTGGGGATAAGAGAAGAAATAGGCATTTACACAAACACGTCCTTCCTCAGCTTGGTATTTTAAAGTCAAGACTCCTTCTCTGTGTGCACTTCCACGTGCCCTTCTGCGCATTTTCACATCACACTTACCAAGATGCAAAGAGGTATTGCAGTGGCTGTCAGTATATGTAGTTACCGTATTTTCCCAGATAGTTATACTGTACCCAAATTTGGAGTTCTGATATTTCAGGGGATCTTGCAACATCGTCAAAGACAAGCCAAAGGAATGTAGTTTCAGAAGAAAAGCCAGCTTCTTTCTGACAATGACATGAAAATTATTGAGTCTGTCATGTCTTTTTAGTTGAAGTGAGAGGCTCATGTGAACCCACTGAGATGCAGTTGGGTAAAGTCAAAGTATTCTTACTCTAGGAACAAGATTGCCCAACACACGGAAAAAAAAAAAAAACCCTCTTATTTTATTTCCTTAAGTAAAAGAACAAATGAGAGTGATGATTGCAGTCAGAAGATCTTAATATTCCATTCACCTGAGCTCCATATCTGAACACAAAGAATTTCTGTAATGCAATTTGTATTATTGTCCAGGGATTTCCCCTTCTTTTGATTAATTGGACCCTGAAACACATTTAAAGCTTTGATTCCAGAAAAGGAGACATTTATTTCCTTTAGAGCCTTATTCTTTCATAATACGTCTTAAAACGTGGGCCTCATCCTCACCAGAATTTTTTTAAATGTGAAAACAAGGCAGACAGAGCGTCTCTCTGGTAATTTTCACACAAAGGGTATGTGATCTTTAAGCAAGCCGTCTTTCTTCACAATCCTACAACATGGGGCTACATGGGAGAGTCCTGTTTTGTGAAAGGAAACAGGGCCAGCTGCCGTCAGCTAGATAAGCTTCAACCGTTCAAGAAAACATGTACAGGAACTTTGAATTCCATCCTATTTGTCTACATCCCTTTCTTCCACAAGAAGGCAGCAGCTCTGATTATTGTCACCGGGGTTTTCTGACTCCTCAGAGTTGGTCTTCGCCCACAATGCCTGGCACGGGCCCTTGGTTTGCGTGCCTTGACTCGCGGTTGAGTTGTTCTTTGATCCAGAGAAGGAAATATCTGGCTGGATGTACACAAACCTGCAGGTGGTCCAGAAAGGGCAGAGGGTCCAAAACGTTGTTGAGGCCAGCAGGAATGGATGCCAAGTGTCCGGCACATAGTAGAGGCCCAAATAAAGAACGTCTTTCTCTGCTTAGGTACCTAAGGAAGCTTCTAAGACCAGCCATGCTTGGTCTAGTCTAAGCCTGAAGACCTTTCAATGTAGGTAAACATATGACAGCAGTCAAGTCATTCTTCTACCTCAGAGTATCTCTGTGTTACAAAGCCATACTATAACGTGGTTATTAATCCATACAGATTTTTTTAAGCTTTATTCTACGCATGTGCTTCAAAGCATGAGGTGTGCAAGATACTAATATGTATGCCCAACCTTTGAAAACTTACTGTTTCCTTGACAAGACATGATATGGGGCGCCTGGGTGGCTCAGTCGGTTAAGCGTCCGACTTTTGACTTTGGCTCAGGTCACGGTCTCACGGTTCGTGAGTTGGAACCCCACATTGGGCTCTGCGCTGACAGTGCAGAACCTGTCTGGGAGATGTTTTATTTATTTATAAATAAATATAAACTTTAAAAAAAAGGAAAAGACAATATTTGTGTCTAGGAAAGATAACTCACAGTATGCAGTGGGAGAAAAGGAGATGCTGGCCAGCTCAGTTTAGAGCTCTCAGTGTCCTCACATTCCTAGGTTCTTCTGATTTCTGTGGACATGAACTTTCATCAATCTAAGATCAGAAAAAAAAGAGCATTAACCTTCCAGGTGAGGATCCTAGGGAGACATGTTTACTATTTCTTCTTCTACTTGGAGACGTCATTGAATGATGCTTTGTTCAATCAAAATTTCATTCATAAACGCCATCCTTTGGAGACATGATCACTCTTCCAGTTAGCATAGCAGACAAAATCAACCCAACAGTAGACCTGCTTTGGAACTCCCAAGGACTGGAAAAGGGAAGAGAAGAACTGAGTCCAGAACGTTGAGACCAAACTGATTCTGAGTTTGTGTTCTCAGTGCACTTTGTGAGAACGGGCTGTGCAGCCTTATACAGTTAGCACAGACAAACTTAAGCTTAAAGAAATGCATTATCAAGCAGTGTCAAGACTCTGCAGCAACCGAAGATCTTAAATAATGTGGTGTCATGGAAGTTACATAATGGGGAACTTCCGTCTGAAGAAAGAATATCCAGTACAAAGAAGCTTTCTTATTGTGAGGCTCTCTGGGTTTTAAAAATGTTGTAATTCTACTTCCAGAACACTCATTTTATATTATTTGATGGCCTCTATTAAGACTGCCTTCCCAAACATTTCTCTGTTGGACATTCTAAATCTCTTCTCTGCCTTCAATCCTTTCCTCACCCACTTTCTTTCTGCCTACCTTGCCCGTCTTTACCTCCTGGCACCTCTATACTTTTGATCTCGAATCATCAAATGATGATGAAAAGACCTCTATCTGCAGAGGAAAATATCATTAACTGTTTCCCATTTTGAGAGTTTAGTAGTACCTCATATTATTGCAAATGCCATGGTTCCAGCTCAGAACTTTAGAATATCACGTTTTGTATTGATTACACAAACCTTAGGGATTTACCTATTGTGCTACCCATTGAAAAAGGGGTATTTCATTTTTTATTTGCATTGGAGCTACTCCTTTTATTTTATTTTTATTTTCACAGAATTCCATCATAGAATTTTCCATTTTTTACAGCAATGATCCAGGAATAGGAACATTTTTTCACCATGGTCTAAATCGATCAATATTTGTTATTATTTCAGCTGCTTAAATGAGACAGTCTGCCCCCCAATATGGTTATAAGTTAAAAATATTATTTTACATCTAATATTTCAAGCAGTCCTTGGCTATTTTTTTTTTTAGCTATTTGCTCTTTTTAGCTGTTGTAACTTGTTCTAGCCACGAGTTCCACTTCTCATTAACTGGGTTGGTCACTGATTATAGCTGAAATTACAAATAGAATTATTAAATAGAGATTATTCTGATACCTGAGAACACTAAATACCTTTTTAAAGGGTATTTTCTTAGCATAATCCGGTAAGTTGTTTGAGATAAATTGAATTATAATTTCAAATGTAGTGGAAAACACAGAATGGATGATAAGTTAGTCATTAGAAACAGTACAATGGGATGAGAGTGGGAAATTTGAGAAACTTACTATTCAAATTCAAAACTTGTTAAGTTTGGAACCTTATTCCGTGTTGCCAGATCCATGCTAGCAGAGTGAAGAGAAGAATTGAGACAATTATCCACATGATTCAGACAAAAAATTAAGATCCAAACCCAAACAGTTTTGCCCAAATAATCTTGTGTTTGAATATTTTTTTGCCTGAATTTTTTGTCTCAGTTTGCCACTTCATTTTGTTAGGCTAGATCTTCATTAACAATTATTTTTCTGAACGTTAAAGATAATATCTTTTTTTCACTTGGATCTTCCACTTAGTACATTCATTATTTTACGTTTGAAAACTAACTTATCAGAAGTTCATCAATCCTATGGCCCTTGAAAGTTTTGCATTTTTTTTCTGAAGCAATATAAAAAATGCTTATGGTGTGTATGCAAGCTGCTGTTTTAATTAACTTTCCTGAATTTCAAACATCTATATTTTACTCTCTTATATGCTTTTAACTAAGGTATAGTAGATGCATTTTTGCTTCAATACTAATTTAAGGTGTAATATTCATTTCTTTAGAGAACATTTTTGTTGTTGTGCATGCCTAGTGTTTTGTACGTTGTATATTGCATTCAGAATATTTTTTTCCTTCTCACCTATCCACAATGCAATGCCGTTCCCATGATGCACCTCTGCTTGCTGTTTACCTGTATGTTAATTCGCTTGAATCCCATTGGCCCACTGCCATCATGTGCTCGCTGCCTGTTATTAAAAGACTCAGTCGACTGCCAAAGCAATGAAGCGACCTCTCGAAGCATCTGTAGACCTGGTACTTTGACCTTTCACCTTTCGCTTTGCATGTAGCTTTTCAGAGAACCATCTGAGATTTGTATTACTTGTAAAAATTGGTTGCAAATGATCATTATTATTAATTAATGGAAAAAAAATAAGGTGTTTAGCCATCTCATTTTCATACGTAATATGTGAAATAAATTAATCCTAACAAATTTTAATACCTTTTCCAAAAGAGTGAAGCAAATTTAGATTACTTGCCTCGGAAAAATGTGCATTATAATTCTTATTAACCTTTAAATCCAAGAAATTGCCGTTTAGTTAACGAAGAGAATAGGTATTAATAATAACACAAATGCTTCTTTCCCCCCTTAGAATAGTTTAACTCGTTTTAAAAGCTGAAGTCATTTTTTATTTTATTATTATTTATTTATTTATTTATTTATTTATTTATTTATTTATTTTGGTGTTGCTTGATAGTTTTTCTTTTCCTTAGTTGAGATGCTACCGTTTTGGGTTACAGAAATCATGCTTCCGCTCTCAATAACAAATTCTCACTCATTCGACATTGCCGCTGTTTAAATTAAGGTGCATGGCAGAGGCATCTCCTTAGCTGTCATTTTGAAAGAGAATGTTGGACTTGATGATCTCTGTGGACACGGAAGGTGTGGTTACTTTGAGTTATACATGTCCTATCCGATTCTTTCCTCATAGGCCTTTCCCCCCGGTGCTCTTCATCCTTTACCAAAGAGACAAGCACTTGAAAAAAACAACGGTGCCAGCACGGTGTTCAATCCCAGCGTGCTGCACTACCAGCAGGCTCTCACCAGCGCCCAGCTGCAGCAACACACGGCGTTTATTCCAACAGGTACGTGCCCTGACAGCTCCAAGTCCCGTGTCCGTGTGCCCTTCCGGTCATGTGCTTTCTCCTCATCCCTCAAAGCTGTTCGGTGGCATCTAGTTTGCTTGTAAAGGTACAGTCAGTACAGCCTGAAGCTCATCATTGTCCTAGCTAGCTAGATACGTTTACTTTGCTTGGATGATAGTGAAAGACTGTCAGGTTTCTAAAGCCAAATATTTTAGAGAGTTGAGTGACAGACTGAACCCATGAGACGCAAAGAGTGGTCAGTTAGGCCTCTTGGTTTCTTGTATCTGCACATGCTGTGTAAAATTGTTTATGTCAGTAGGGCCTTTTTATGTGTGACAGTTCAGATTTGTCATTAACCCTGAATGACCTAAAAACAGCAATTCCAGTAAATACTAACCTTTTTTTTCCCTATTCCTATTCAGAGCACTAAACAAAAAACCAAGGCTGTTCAAATTAAAGCGATCTTCTTCTCATATTTTACATCCATTCTCTCTCTTTCTCCATCGTTCTCAGCTTCACCAAGTGCACAAATAGATAGGGCTCTTACTCGCAGTTTCTAAGCCAATGCCTGATAGTCTTAGCTGCTCAGGTCCATTAACTGTATCATTCCACTAAAAGATGAATTCTATTAATCACAGAATCTCGAAGTTTAAAGGATTCTTAGTGATCTCCTCATCCAGTCGATCGTTTTACAGATGAGAAAACTGAGGCCCCCTAAATGTGAGGTGACTTCCCAAGGTGGCACAGCTAATGAGACAAGGACCCAGCACCTAGTTTCCCCGTGACCGGTCCGACGTACCGGGACATGACACCACCCGGCTTCCGTATGTGGAGTCACAGGGTTCTCCCTTACAGCTCGGCAGACATAAAACATCAGATAAAAGTGAAGAAGCAGAAGTGCAAAGCATGTCAACCCTCCTCCTTTTTGTACCCACCTCCCTGACCCCAGACCTACACACACCATATACGAACACAAAGTCATCATATATTGACCATGGTATTGACTTTTTAGTCTGTGTTAGAAGCAGGGATAATGTCCCCAAAATAAATAAAGTCTCCTCCTACTGTTTAAAAAAAAAAAAAAAGCGAAGAAGAAGAATCAGAGAGTGACTTAGGCTTTTGTGAGAAGACGGTCCACTGAGTTCTTAGTTCGGAAGTCAAAATTTTCATCCCATGATAGTGACTGGAAGGTAAATATAGATGAACAACAGTTTTATCCAAAAGAGCTTGTTGGTCCTAATCCACATGGTTGGACTTTTTGGGTTTATTTTCCATTTCTTTAAATCCTGTAGCATATCAGGAATTAACGTGGGAGGGAGTAGAATCGCTATTTCTGTGGTATTCTTTGTGTAAAAGTTACAGTTTGAAATGAATTGTCAACCTTTTAACAATATTTATTACAGTAAAGATACAAGTTATGTGAGGAAAATGGTTCTTAGTGTTTAGTTTTCCTATTTTACTTCCGCTTTTCTCTTAAGTAGATTCATAGACCTGTGGAGTGAGTTTCTATATCAGTACTTATTGGGACTTCCCTCCTGTTCTATTACAACCTTAACTAGTGACATTTCAGTGCAGGGATAGCACAGCAGGACTTGTCATTGTAATCCACTAGATATAACATGTTTGTAAAATAATAACTAGTAGGTAAACTTACCTTGAGGTCTCATAGGATTTCTAGAAGCGTCTTATTTTATAGACCTCGTCACTAGATATTTGAAGAGAAAAAAATCAGGGAAGAATGTACAGAGGGGTAAAACATAAAAGGACAAGTCTGTTTCTGGAGACTGGGTAATAATTTCAGAACAATTTCCTGAGAATGCCTTTGAAACCCTGGAACTTAGTCGTGTAAAAATGTGAAGGCCTCTTAACTCGTATTTAACACTTCAATCCAATAATGACTGCTCTATTAAATCACTGAAAGAACCCTCACTTAAAAATGTTTCACCTGGAAACCATTTAAAGACTTCCAAAGCAAGAATGGATAACATCCTTTATGCAGTGACCTGATTATTGCTGATGAAATGATTGTATCGAGGAGCGATAGGCTGTACTGGTTGCTGTGCTTGAGTACTTCTGCCCCCTGCTGGATTGTTTAAAAACTGTCCGTGTGTCCGGCAACCCTCAATTGTGTGCACTTTGGGAGCCGAAAAGTGGGTCCTAGCCCACTTAATTCTGTGAGTTACAAGTGTTTCCATCTGTAACATGATATCAATATCATAGTGAACAACCATGTGGCTCTCGTGCTCTGAAATGGTATATCAACTTCTAAGAAGTTTTCACATGTTTTTCTTAAATGATGAAAGAGAAAATAATTTTCTCAAAAGGCAGTTAGTGTAATCTTTCCCCCACTTAAACCCAGAACAGAAATTTTAGTGTTTACCTTGGCTCTAGCTTTTATTTCAGGCTTTCTTTCTCATAAACCACATTTTCAACTTAATTTTAAAATGGTAATGATAATGATCATTGTTAATCACTGTTGTCTTAAACGTCTGCAAATTAAGTGATGATGTTCAAAAATAAGTTTTGTAACTTGGCAGATGGGTGGGCCCATTATTTTTAACATGACAGATTTTGATTTTTCTATAACTACTTTATATTAATATCGATCCTATATGAAACAAAAAGCATTTCGTGTTCTCCTGGAGGCCACCCTTTACCGAAAAGTCATTCATAGTGGAATTTTGGGGGTTGTTTTTTTTAAGATCCCTAACTTTTATTTCTTTTTTTTTTTCCCCACTGAGGTATCATTGACATGGAACACTCTATCAGTTTCAGGTGTACAACATAATGATCTGATATTTGTATACACTGTGAAATGATCACCACAGTATGTCTACCTACCATCTGTCACCCATAGTGAAGTTTTTGATATGTTACTAGAACTCTCCCAATGACACAGTATGAATTATGAATTTGGATGTTAGGAATTCTGCCTCCAGACTGTGGAGATAGTAATGTAAAATATCATGCAAAATATGGGATTCCTCTCCCAAACCATGCTAACATAATTATCACCTTGGTTGGTGCCCTAGCACGTTTGTGGTGGGTAGGACTTTTCCTTTTCTCCCTTTTTTTTTTTTTTTTTTTTTTTTTTTTTTTTTTTTTGATAGGGATTATTTTAATCTAGGAGTTATACTTTTTCTTTGCTATGTTAGGAAAGCAGCAAAAACCACACACACTTACAAAAATAGCAGGGTAATGATTCTTGGCATTTCTCTGACAGGTTTATTCTGAGTTACTCTAAGTGTTCTTATAGGCATTTTCTCATTATTCTTCAAGATCATTCTGGCAGCAGCAGGCGTAATTATTGGCATTTTGCAGATGGAAAAACCGAGGCTGTATCTATGCTGCAAAGTGGAAAATATAATTAATGGAAATATCCAGAGAACCCTAACTCACAGATTCTAGAGTTGGAATATTTCTGCAACCAAAGCAGAGAATAGTTGAGAAGTCTTTGTTGAGAGAGTTAGTGCCTTAGTGAAATGCCTCAGCCGGTCAGAACAAAACGACCCACCGACTCTTTCCTTGATATATTTCATTGTACTGGATGTACAGAATAACCAGAACAAGGAAAAGTGTTAGCACAAATATTGCCTAATGATCAGAAACCATAATGTTATGTAAGGTTATCACACACCTTGGTGAAAGATTTGTCAGCATTCAGTGGAAACTGTATCTGTACAACCACAGCAGAATCTATTTGTCCCACTTAATTCAGCAAACAGTTCTTGAACACAGAGTAAGTTCTGGGTTCCAGATCCAGTAATGAGAATACAACAAAGAGGCAAAAATCAATACAATGCAGAGCGTTAAGGGCCCCTTGGGGCATGAGCAAAGCTATTTGAGAGGGCAGCAAGAGGCAATGCATTAGGGCCATCAGCATGTGCAGTGGGTGGTGGTGACAAAGGATCCTGAGAAGGAAAGAACTCTCCAAAGGAGAAGAAGTTTGCTTAGGACTTTGAAAGGAACGTTTTCCCAGCGGAGGAAGAGCATCCCAGGCAGGGGAGACAACCTAGGTTGGGGACAGCATATTCGAGGACGAGCAAGTTATCCGTTTTAGCTGCAGCATAAAGTATTTAAGGGGCAGGAGGAGGGTGCAAGGGCAGAAAAGAAGAGGAGAACCAGAATCTGGCACTGAGTAAGACAGCCACGCAGAGCAAAAGCTATTTGTTTCCAATATTCATATCGTTTGTAGAGCACACAGAGAGAAAGAGAGGCTCATGAAATTAATTTGGTTGAGCATTTCAACCACATCCTGAACTGAAGCTGAAGTGACACATTCAATCCCGGCTCAGTGTGGCTGCTGATGCTGCTGTAGATGGTTTTCAACCCAGTGACATTCGCATCCGTGACACAAGAAAGCCTTCCAAGAAAACCCCTCCACATGGGAATGCAACAGAATTTTTATGGGCCTAACTTTGAATCCAGCCATGGTTCACTCTGAAATGAAATCATTTACAAAGTGGGTACATACATTTTAGGAAAAGGTTGATCCCACTGCACTCACTAATGGCAGAGAACACCCATTCAACCGACTGTCCACCTACCGTGTGCCCCAAAGACCTAGACAGACAATGAACGCTGCCCTCCCAGAGTTAACAGCAGAGGAGGAGAGATGGATGTTCAAGAAATGCCCGTATAAATATGTAACTTAAATGTTTTATAAATCCTATGAATGAAAAAGTAGAGTTCAATACGCTTGAAAATAGAAAACTGATTTAAATGGCATGTGGAGGTAGGTAAAAGAGCAATTGAACAGTTTTCTAAAGAAGTGGCATGTGCCTTGAGACCTGGAAGATGAAAAGAGTAGGGCGAAGATAATTCCAGGCAGAGGGGACAGCTTGTGGGAAGCCCAAAAGTAGGACAAAAGTGCGATGTGTTCGGTTCAAAGAAATGATAGACTAATCTGCCCGGGTCACAGTGCCAGCCTCCAGAGAGGGGTATAGAACAAGCCAGGGAGATAGACACTGGACCCTAGGGGACCTTTATCCTAAAAGCAATGAGAAGGCAGTGAATTGTTTCCAGCGGAGAAGCGAACAGACCTGTATTTAGAAAGGTTTACTCTGACAGCAGAGTGGAGACTGGATTAGGCAGGAGACAGGAAGGCAAGCAGGAAGACCAGTTAGGACATCATTACAGGGCCAAGCCTGGAGACAATGGCGATCAGGACCGGAGAAGTGGCAGTAGAGACGCACAGACGGACAAATGCAAGATGCATTTTAGAAGCAGGATTGCTTTGGCTTTTGGGTGAGCCGGAGCAGGGAATTTCAAGAGGGAAGGCGGATGCATAAATGTGGAAGCCTTGAGCTCATAGATAGTATTTAAATCCCGGGTTGAATGGTATCATGAATTGAATGATGCCTGGAAAAAGCATAGAGTAGGTGAAAAGGAGCCAGAAGTGAGTCCTGAAAAACTCCAGCATATAGAGATATAGAGTATGTGTGTGTGTGTGCATGCACGTGTGTGTCTGGGTTATCAGAAAATCCAAGGGAAAAGACTAGTTTATTATGGAGGGAGGGGCTGAGTGCCAAATGTTACCAAGACTCAGGAAGTTAGATGAAAGTGGAAGAGTTCCTACTGATTGCACAAATACGGAGTTCTTGGTGACATTAGCAGTTGGAGGGAAGACGTGAAAATGAAAGCCAAAGTGGAAAAGATTGAAGAATATGTGGGGTCGAGGAAGTGAAAATTATTGTGCAGGTAACTTTTCAGAAGTTCGGTTATGAAGATTAGAGAGATAGGGTGAGAGAAAGAGAAGGAGAAAGAATCCTGTCGTCAACAGGATTTTGAGATGTGCGTGTGTGTGTATGTGTGTGTGCTAAATCAGACATATTAGCACGTGTTTGCTGAAGAATCCATTAAAAGCCCAGTTAAATAGCTTCTTTTCCTGACTAGTTAATGTTAGCCTGACCAAAATGTACATCAGGCAGAAAGTACCCGTCAGGTGTGAACAGTTTGGCAGAGAGAATAAAGGCCTTCACATCTCAGATTCTTCGCCTAGTATCTCAGAAGACAGTTCTAAAACCCTAAATGTGTACATCCATTCGTTAAAAAGAGTTTTCCTTTATTCATTACAAATGAATGTTCTGTCACCTACATGACCCCAACCTTCAGGTATCTTATATTACATTACCTTGATTTTTAGTCTAAGGAACTGAACCGGAAGTAGGTCATTCATTTTTTTCGGTACTCTACAACACACATTTCTCTTCATGGTCAGAGTTTTCTGATTCAAGCACATTAATACGACCACCCCCAGAGAAGGCAGCTATTCCCCTGGAAGGAATGAAATCTTCCCTCCCTCCCTCCACCTGGAGGCCAACCTGATTTCCTAGTTTTGCCAAAGGTCTCCCTCAGAGATCACCGACTAGTAGCCATGACAAAATCGCTAGCCCTGGTCCTAACTCAGCCCCAGTTCTGCACTATTTTGCCTCTACGCTATTCAAGCTTTGTTGCCAGCACCACTTCTTTATAATGATGAATCTCGTAGCAGAAAACAGATCACATACACATCGAGGTCATTTTGTCACAAGAATGTCAGTCTTCCTAAACTGTAGGGCTTAGGAGCAATAATCCCAAATTCACATGACCTGCGAGCATTTGATTTGGAGGATATGGAATCTTAATTACTGCTTTTATTTTCATATTGTTTTTGACACGAAACAAGCACAGTTTTAATGCAGTAAGGTCAGCGTAATCTAGTAAATACAAAACCTGACCTGGATTTAGGAATAGAATTCTATTTTGAGCCTTACCCTTGACTCACACTATGCATGACCTTGGAGTAGTTACTATGCCTCAGATTTTTCATCTGTAAAATACCTACTTCCTACCTTAGAGGATGACCTTGATATTGTCTGTAAAATACCTTGAGGTCTTAGAGGAAGGACACTGTAGCATTGTCACATGTCATTCTTATAAGAATCATTTCGATGGATGTGAATAAGAAGTGTGAAAAGTAAAGAGTGAGCTTTGAGTAATATTGGCTTCCAATAAGTCAGATATATTTGTGTCTGTACTAAAAATGTGAGTAACTCTAAGAGACTGTGTTAACTAACCCTACTGATTTCTGGTTGTGCTTCAATCTCACTTTGAATGTTAACTCTAAACCGCTAACCTGTTTCTTTCCCTTTATTCACTTTTTCCACCTGCCATTGCATGACATGCAGGGTCAGTTTTGTGCATGACACCCGCTACCAGTATTGGTAGGTTTCAACCTTTTTTTATGTGTCTTTTATATTGTGTACAGTACCTTCACTTGCTTGAAATTTATTTCCAAGATGGTAGAAATGCTTGAGGAAATGGTAGATCTGAAGGCTTATTTGGCTTTAGAGTTAATGTATAGGTTTCTTTTTTTTTTAAATGTACTTGTAACTTGAAGAAAATGACCATTTCAATGTGACCAGAACAGCAGAGCAACCACTACAAAACATAAAACCACAAGTATTGCTTTTTTAATGATCTGTATTCTGTTTCTCTTTATAGTTTATATGGTTTAGCATAAGAAAAAGAAAAGCTTACTTTATCAGAAAGGCAGGCTAATTTCATCAGTGTTTTAAAATTTCATAGTGGTGTGCCTTTATCTCCTCTTTGCTGTGTGTTAGAGTTATCAGAGTTTCCCAGAAGTATTTATTTTTTAAAATTATGAATGGATGTATTTTGAAAACCAATGTCTGAACTGCTTTGCTTTATTATCGATTTTTTAATTTTAAGTGTTGACTTATTTGTGATGATGATTTGTACCTTAGCACTCCCTTAGATGTTAAATTTTAATAATCCATAGTTATCCCTACACATCCAGTGCCTTGGTACAAAAGTCCGTCTTTAGGACACACGGATTCGTCCCATTTAGAATAAAGAGAAATAAACATTGGCCAAATTTCCTGAGCTGTTTCACAGCAACTGTGTTAGAATTAACACCAAGGCCTCGAGTTTTTGCTCTACCATTTATTAACCCCAAAAACCCCACAACCTCCAGCAATTTCAGTTCAAAAAAGCAGCCCCAAATTGACAAAAATTTTCCATCCCACCACAATGAACTCCAAAGGATGTCCTACCCCAAACTGGGCCTACACGTTGAGCCTTGGATGTTTTAGAATGACAAAAATGAATATCGTATACCCTTACTTCATTGGACATTACATGTCACTTTTTTAGAGGAGACCATTAGTACGTAACAACCACAGACGCCGGATTGGGAATGATCTATTGTTAGAAGTAAAATGTTTATGAATACATCAACCAAAGTGATCCGCTTTGGCCTTTCTGGGAATCACTGATTATGTTTTAAAACTTCCTTTAATTGTACTTGTAATAAGCTATTTTCCCTTTTTTATTTCTCTCCCATGCTTCCTTGCTTTGCATTGTGATTGCATGCCATCTGCTGGTTTAACCCATGATGGCTTGCTGCTCTGATATTCACCATGCCAAAATACCACTTCTATTACCATAATGCTACACCCTCCTGTTCATTGCTCCCATGGTACCCCTCCTGAAAGTACCCATGATGCACAGCGCTACGTCAGCCACTGTCTCTGCAGCAACAACTCCTGCAACAAGTGTCCCCTTCGCAGCAACAGCCACAGCCAATCAGGTTTGCTCCTTTTAAAGCTTTCTTTCACAAATCCCAAACTCTAAATGAGTGCTGATATTTAAAAAAAAAATTCTCGGTGAGAATTTTTTTTTCATGTTTATCCATCAAATTTTATTTTTTTAATTAGTTTATAGCCAGCATTTATGGACAGGTTGCACTTATTTAGAGTTAACATTTACTGCAAATAATGATGTAGCTATGTTTTGTGTTGCACTGTTTGTTTTCGTACCTAATATTGTGTAATTAACCTGACAGGCTTAAATTCCTTTTAGTACAGCATTACGTATCCAGTGGTTTGTGAATTGCCACAGAGAAACTGTAAAAGCTGAGCCGGAAAACTGGCTATATTTCGATTCGGTTCATTCAGACCCTATCACCTGCTGGGGAGGAAAAAAGTTCTCCTCTGAGAAAAGTCTCCCCTTTTTCTTTCATGTCAAATTTGAGGTCTGAATGATTCTTGTCCACATCTCGCCTTGGTCGTATGTGCTCCCAAACTCACTGGTCCCCACTTCACAATTTGTGTAGAGATATTGGCCTAAGAACCAGAGCATACTGGAAGAGAAATACTAGGCACTGAGTTCACAAAGGCTGGATATAACTAATTAGGGGTGTTTAACTCTGTTGGTTTAACGCATGTGCCGGAAAGACCATGGATGTCCTATTTCTCAGTGAGAACCAGTTGGCTGTTTCCCACTCTGTAATCACAGGCTGACTGTCACCCTAACCCCAGCCAACCAACTTGCAAACATGTGCTCCCGCATGGGAGAGGCACATGAGGACTGGTGAGGGTAAACTCTTAACCTCGCCTAGAAAAACACATTACTGCGCATGCCCTCCCTTCATAGAAGAGCAATGGTTTTGGTTCTGCTTTTTAGCTTAATTTTTTTTTAAAGTAAAATCGACCGTACTGATAAAAGATAAAAATAGATATAGGAGTAGGCTGGAGGGAAGGTCTGAGCTAATGGGAGAAACTGGGAGAAATCACGTCAGGGCATAAATGCAGATTCCAGACTGCATTTTGCAGGTGAGAAGGGCCGATTCACACTTTCTTTCCATGTTCAAGTGCGTAAGTGATTCCAGTGCTATGCGTCCCATCACGGAAGCGACAAGTGTGAGTGTACTTGAATGAAGGAATAAAAGTAAAATCCCGTGATAGGTCCGACTGTGTCCTCTGAAATGTGATGAAGCGGGACAGGGATGGGGGGGGCCCACACGTGCTCTCAGAGGCAGATATAAACTAGTGATAACGCTTCAGCTCTCCCTCACCACCTCAAAAGTGCCACATTACCTCTAAGGAAAGCCAACTCAGCTTCCAGACAGATATGATAAAGAATAGCAAGTAAGTTTCTTAGCTGGGAAGAAGATTCAGAAGAAAAGGATGGCCTGGAAGAGGGAGAGACAATTTTCATCCCTGCTATAACTAGGTTCACAGCTATAACTAGGTTCCCTTTCATTTGCTCGTTCGTAATAAGGAAGCTGGATGTTTGGATATTTAGGTCTGAGTCCTGCCTTCTTGAACCATGTTTTTGTGGTTGTTGACAGAATTTTTGTGAGAAAGTCCTCTCCTAAACAAACAAGTTTGAAGTATCATATACTGGCATTCATTATGATGGAATTTTACTATACTTTATGGCAAGTTAAGCACTTGGGTTTTTATTTTTTTTAACATTTTACTTATTTTTGAGAGACGTAGAGCAAGTTGGGGAGGGGCAGAGACAGAGGGAGACACAGAATCCGAAGCAGGATCCAGGCTCCGTCGGAGCTGTCAGCACAGAGCCAGACGCAGGGCTTGAACCCACCAACAGTGAGATCATGACCTGAAGTCGGATGCTTAACCAACCGACTGAGCCACTCGGGCACCCCAAGCTAAGTGCTTCTAATGCTGAGAGATCTTTCCTAAGAATGGAAAGGAAGTCAAGATAAAGAAACACTGTGGAGTTTGGGCATAAGTTCCATTCATATGGTAAATACTTAATCACATATCATAAATATTTTTTCCAGCCTGGTGATTTTTTTTTTTTTGGCTCCCTTTCCTGGGAAAAACTTTGAGAGATTGCACACACGTGTGTGGGTTTCTGTACGTGGGAGGGTGGCAGGGGTAGGAAGCATGGGATATGCAAAGGCTAAGATATATCATTTTACAGCAGACTGTGATTGGCAAGGGAACTGACAAGTTTAACTCCAGCTACATTTAAAGAGATATTATTAAAGGAGTACCTGACAGTAGCTTCGAGAATCCTAAATCTGTGTCTTACAGTTTATCAGATATACTAGTTGCTGGGCTCCACTTCAGTGATGAAGAGAAATCCTTTAGCAGCTCTTCAGGAAGGTCAGCTTGCTCAAGAAAACCACAGAAAAAGAAATAGTCGTAAATATAAATTTTTCAGATAGAATATTTTTTACGTATTTTCAACAAGTTTCAAAGAGTGAAGCAGCCAAACAAGAACTTGGAATGTCTTCCAGTGCCCCACAATTCAGAATTCAGAGGATGCTGATGGCCGTTAAATGACAAGTCATTGTCTTGTTAATCTCACCCTTTAAACTCAAATGGAATCATATCCATGTGAATGATGTGTCCTTTAAACATAGTAAGTCTCAGTTTCCTCAGTTGGGAGAGGGAGCCCAGCATTAGATCACCCCAAAGTCCCTTTCAGCCCTAAGATCCAGAAAACCTGTGGTCCCTTCGCTGCTATGCTGGACCCAAAGTATCGGATGTATGAAGCTAGACACTAGCGGAATGGCAAGTAGTGCTAACGATTTCAGAGTTCAGGGCACAATAAGCATCTTGCCTTCTTTTTCCTTCATGGAGTGATCTGTCTTTAACAAAAAATGCGCTAGGGTTTTGACAGTCTTTCAGTGCATTTGATCAATTTATACCGGCAGTTCAAACAGTTCAAACCTCACAGGCATTTGTAATTAGAGACAAGTCATTCATAGAAGAAAGATAGACCAAAACATCCCACGACAGACCCTTTGGTCCAGGCTTCCTTTACACGTGAGCCCGTGGTGAGCCAAGATGAACAGGTACAAACCTCGAAATTATGTTCTCAGGGCTGAATCAAGGGGCCAGCAATGAAAGTTTTCAATGAACTTAGCCTTGTAGTTTGAAATGCAGTGAAGACAAAATCCAAATATTTGGGGGGAAATATAAAATAATCCTTTTGGTTGTTTGACTCTGGGCATAGCTTTATAAACAAAGATGCAATGAACAAATTTATTAGCAGCTATTTCCTCTTTCAGCTAAGGTCTTTGGGCCTTACTATAGAAATTACATTACATAATCATTACCTAATAAGATTATTATTTACCAACTACTTATTTTGCACAAGATACTATTCTAAATGGTTTCTCTCTCATATATGTTACATTATATATCATGCCATATATTTTATATTATATGAGAGAGGGAACGTATGTATAGATATACTCATGTAAGCCTTAATCACAGTCTTATGAGCACAGCTTTGGGCATCTCTGTTTCACAGATGGTAAGACTGAAACAGAGGTTAACTAACTACCTTAGCCAAAGTTCAACAGCGAATGAAGGGTCTTGCTGGAACTGAACCCCGGGCAATCTGACTCTAGAAGCCTTGCTCTTAACCACCGTGCTAC